AAAATGGTATTTAAAAGCAGCTTCTCAAAATTTCAATTAGATCACTTACTTGCTTTATTTCTGTTGAGATGATTAAATGCACTATGCATGTGAAAGCACTTCTTTTTTCTCTCTTTTTTGCTGTCCTGAAATTGTACTTCCAAACAAAAAGCATCATCAATCAAGCCTTGTCCTGCATTCTGTTTTCTAGAAAACTTGAGCCATGACATTCATTTAAAGTACCATTATAACTAGGAATATCATCACAGCATTTTTTTTTTCTTTTCATTCATTTCCTGTTTTAATTCGTTGCCTGCTCATCAAGGCTTTCCCTAGGGAACAATTTTATTCAAGTGAAATCAGGTTAAAAATGACACCAATCAGAGGAAGAAAATACAGCCCAAAAGGGCAATGTGAAGAGTAAAAGTTTTTCTGTAATGACAGAAGAACTGCCCCTTCTGTTTCAGTAACTCCTCTGCTTTAGCAACCATCTAACTGGGGCTAACACTCCATACTGGGTCCCCTGTTCAGAGCCTCCTTTATGAACTGTCCAGTTACTTGATCCCTTGAGGTGGGCGCCTGGCTATAAACACACACACATACATGCACCCCATGTGTGGCCTAAGGTGGTTTTTCCATTTCACATTTCCCAAAGTTTAAGGCCACGATTCCTCAATTTTCCTCTTTTGCAGATCTTTTCATAAAAGAAAGACCTCTTTGTCAGAAAAATATAGAAATTACATAATTTCAGAGTAAATGATCTTCCTTTCAATTAAATAAATTTAGCCCTAAAAAAAGTCCTCACATTATCCTTATTTTTCTCATTTTACTTCATACCAGTGAAATTTTGTCGCACTCTTGTGAGTGGTTTGGAAACCACTGGCAGAGGGACAAGTCAGTTAATGAGCTAGAGAACTGGAAAAAGCTGACTCACCTCACCAAGGTGAGGAATGTTCCAGTATAGGCAAACACCAGGAAATTCAGAGAGGGACAGTTTGAACTAATTTCAATATTTTAAGTAATTAAGACCACCATGCCTTTAATAGATGTTTTACAGCAAAGCAGAGGAGAAAGTTTTGTTCAAGGTGCCTGGGCTTTCTTTTCTAATCCTTTTGTAGAGATTATTCTTACAACCCAAATTGAAGCCCCAATTGTTCATTGCTTTTATGATTATTATTTCAATATAATTTTTCTCCAAATACATCTGAGGTATTATGGTCAATGCCATGGAGCACTGAATAAGATTAACACCCACGAATGTATGCGTGCATGTGTGTGTGTGTGTGTGTGTGTGTGTGTGTGTGTGTGTGTGTGTGTTTTGAGAATGTGACCCTCGTCAATGACTCTGTGGCCTTGGCAGAGTGGGAAGCTCTGTTTTAGGTATCATCCAGAGCAGGACTAGACATCGTCCCTCCCCTTGAAGTTCTAAATTCCCAACTTTAAATATACACAGCACACACAGTATTACAGACACAGGGCATACCAAGGGGTAAGTTTTATATTTGGTTTTGATATCTCCTTTAATTCCCTAAGAGAAGAAAAGAAAGGAAGGAATGAGGATAGAAAGTGAAGAGGGAAAGTCAGAAGAAGGGATTAAGAGAAAATGGAAAACAATAGTGGTAATTCCCAGAAAGAAGGGCAATGGCTGGTAGGAGATTTATGGGAAGTGAGAGCCCTGATCCTGCCCAGCTTGTCCGGGAATTCTTCCTGTTAGAGGGTGATTTGTTAACTGCTGTCTGAACAGCCTTTCCAGGGAGTCAATTTTGGACTCTGATACTCACATTTAGAATCACCAAAGCCAAGCCAAGGTTGTTTTCCAGGAATAGGGTTTTATAGGATGAGGCTACTTCATGCATTGTGTGGTAAATGGTGAATATTCCACTTCATATTTAAGAACAGAGTCAGGACAGAAAAAAAGGGGTAATATTACCATAGCTTGGAAAGCACTAATTTAAAGAAAAAAAAATCCTTTCTTTCTTCCAGCACAGATATGGCCCCATGTGACCATGGGTATAAAATAGTTAAACACTCAAACCTCTGAACTTCTAAAGTCATGAGGGACTTTCATTGCTATTTCCCAGTAAACATCATGACACCAATGTTTCTGTTTAGTAAACTACTTTTCAGTTAGGAAACATAATAACAATAATAGTAACAGCAGCTAGCATGTACTAAACTCTTCCCACATGCCAGCCACCATCCTTTAACGATGATATCATACGTGAAACCATGTTTAGTCCTCACAGTATCCCAGAAAGTTAGCTAATATAATTATGTCCATTCTATAGATGAGGAAACTATTTCTCAGAAATTTCAAGTAATTCATTCAAAGTTAATTAGACAATAAAGGTGGAACCAGAGTTTGAGCCCAAGCAGTCCAACTGCAGAGCCCCATGCCTTATGACCATTACATATTTTCTTCAATTCAAATAGTCTTTTCTCACTACACTGAGAAATGGATAAAATACCTTTTCAGTAACTCTGAGATTTAATTCAGATAGACATAGATTTAAATCATGATGTATGACCTTAGAAAAATAGTCGAATTTCTCAGATTCTTGGGTTTTTATTTGTAAAACAGAGATAACACCACTCTGAAGAATTACTATGAAAGCAAGAGGTTATATATGGTAGCCATTTCATACATGAGAAGTATTACCACAGCACAGATAGATAGAGAACTGTCAAGATTAAAAAGCAAAAATAGGGCATCTGGGTGGCTCAGTTGGTTAAGTGTCTGACTCTATCTTAGCTCAGGTCATGATTTCATGGTTCGTGAGTTCAAGCCATGTGTCAGGCTCTGCACTGACAGCACAGAGACTGCTTGGGATTCTCTCTTTCCCTCTCTCTCTGCCTCTCCCCCATTTGCTTGCATGCAAGTGCTCTCTCTTTCTCTCTCAAAATAAATACATAAACATTGTTTTTAAAGGAAAGACAAGTGGGGTGCCTGGGTGGCTCAGTCAGTTAAGTGTCCAACTTCAGCTCAGGTCATCATCTCACGGTTCGTGAGTTTGAGTCCTGTGTTGGGCTTGGTGCTAACAGCTTAGAGCCTAACACCCGCTTCGGATTCTGCATCTCCCTTTCTCTCTGCCCCTCTCCCACTCACAATCTGTCTCTCTCTCTGAAAAAAAAAAAAAAAAAAATATATATATATATATATATGAAAAACAAGCAACAAAACAATGAAAGCCAGGCACCCAGGACAGATATCCAGGGTGAGGGATAATTGGAAGTAGATCATCTTCAGAAATATTGAAGGAAGTATTTCCCTTAAACAACTCAGTTGATAAAGTAAACTTTGAGTATACTTGCAAAAGAAGAAGAGATATCAGGTAATCACATAAAAACAAAAACAAAAATACAAAAAAAAGAGGATCAGTTGACCCTGTACAAAGAGAGAAAGCAAAATGCAAACCATTACAAAGTAGTATGCTCTGAGCCATGGCAAGCCAAATTAATTCACACAGTGAAGGAGGAAATGAAGCTTGTGTCAGAATCCATCTATCACATACAATGCATACACAAAAGTAGCTTAAGTTAAACCAGACATAGTTCTGATCCCATGTTGTGGAGGAATCATCTCTGTGACTCTTATTGTTGTTTCACTGAAGCTCTAGGTTAAAGAATCGCTTTAGCAAACACTAGACCGAGTGGACAGCCACTGGCTATTCCAATCAAGAATCCCATATGTGCTGTGAAAAGAAGTAGATGACAGACTTTAGAGAAGATCACTTTGGCCAGGTCTCCAGTGTTCTTGTGCTCTATATTCTCTAATGAAATTTCCCCTTCCAGTCAAGTTTCACAGCCTTTCCACTGTGGATGCACTAAAGATCTAAGATGAAAAGGGCGGGGGGGTACATTATGAAGGGGAGAGAGGAAACTATAGCACAAATAGCAAAAGAACAATCTGAAACAGCTTGAGAGAGGATCCAGTGTTCTAGCGGCAGAAATCTCCATAACCATTTGTTACCATAAGTTGGGTTCTTCTATCCTCTAGATCCCTATCTTCACAGAGCATTGTAATGAAAAGGTAAAATTTATGAAAATAAGACATATCCTTTCCTAGTTTGTTTTGTGCACATAAAATACACAGACAAAAGCTTGAATTTTAAAAATTCAGTCAATTAAACTTACAGTTGTTAGATGTACCTAACTACTGCCTACTAAAACAAGAGCAACAATCTTAATGTCATTGGGGGGAAATTACTGCATTCCCAGCCTTTCTGGAGAGACACTTCAAAAAGGCTTCCACCTACCAAATATTAATACATATTTTATACACTGGCTTTGATGATAGCTATTAGGACAAAAGAATATGATTGTGACTATATTCCTTATTTTATCCTGTGTGATGGCATTTTAACCTGCTATTAACACTGGAACATCTAGTAAGCACTCAATGGATATTTGTTAAATAAAATAGGAAGAACTTGGTAAGGAGTTTTAAATGAAATTTCATGATAATTAAGACCAAGGGCTTTCAGATCAAATGGACCTGATAATTTACTTATCTGTATCTTTGAGCAAATTTTTAAATTTCTCTAAGCCTCAGATTTTTTCATTTAAAACTCAGTCGGTTAGGCGTCCGACTTTGGCTCAGGTCATGATCTGATGTTTGTGGGTTTGAGCCCCACATTAGGCTCTGCTAAAAGCTCAGAGCCTGGAGCTGCTTCGGATTCTGTGCCTCCCTCTCTTTCTGCCCTTCCCCTGCTTGCACTCTGTCTCTCTCTGTCTCTCAAAGATACAGAAACATTAAAAAAATTTTTTTAATGTCAACATATAATTAACCCTTCCATTGACCGGTCATTTAGATTAATTAGATAATTCATATAAAACTCTTATCTCAGACCATGCTCATGGTAAGTACCCAAAAACAATCATTAACACTTTTGTGCTTGATCTTAGGCAGATAATACACACAATTCTTTAATCTGCTAATCATATAGTAAGTCTTTTTGTGATAATATTGAGTATTATGTTATTGCAAAACAGCACACTTTTTGGAGACCTGTGAGACTCACCCACAAACAGATGAGAAGAATATCTCAGAATTTGACGTGCTCATGGTTTTATGGAAGATCACTGAGAGCATGGAAGTGGATTTAACAGCAGAGGGCACAGCAAAGAGACCAGGCGGGAGAGAATAATTCACTCCTAAGAGAAAAAAAGGAAAGGATTCTGTCATTTTCTGATGCTGAATCTCATAATATCTCTGACAGGCACCATTGAACAAGTATACATTATACAACTCAGCTGTCCAAAATAGCAGTTACACGGGAAGAAAAAGATAGGTTTTTTTTTTTTTCTTGAAAAGGAGGAAGATGGAAAAGAGGAGAAAGCAGCAGAAAACTTCACTATACATAAAATGGAGAAAATCAAGGTGGGACTGTGGAGCACAGGGCAATATAGTGGACAGTACATGGGCTTTATAATGGGATAGATCTAAATCTGGTTTTCTAGGTCAGTTATTTGCTACTGAGGCTAAGTACCTATTGTTAACAATTTGTGCTTCTTTTGCTTGATCTTTGTAATAATACCTGTATCATTAAATTAAAAAAAATAATTGTGTAATAAAAATTGTGATTATGTCATAGGGTTGTTGTGAAGATATAATAAAACAACAATGCTAGCAGAGTGCTCAATCCATTTTCTCGTCTATATGGGTACTTGAAAAATATTTCTCATATACTCTGCAGGCAAGGAAATTACAGAAATGCTTGCTAGAGCATTGTATCTTGCATTTGTTTACTCATTTTTCCAGAAGCATTCCTGGTAATTGTAGGCATTACATCAATTTAACCAAGCTTGAAGTACATTTCCCAGAATCCACCTTTCCTTCATGGGATTAGTTCAGGTGCAGACATGGAAGATACAAGTGAAGCCCAGCTGTCTTCTAGTGCTGAGAAGGCTGGTGCAGTACAGGGCACTTCTGCAGCTCCTGCCTATTGGAGCTAACCTCCTGGCTTTCTGGCTGGAGGGTGGCAGCAGTAGCTCTAAGTTCTCCAACTCCTGGTCCAGGTTTGTGTTTAGGTCTGTGACAATGGGGCAGGCACTAGCTTCTGAAGAAAACCTTCATCACTAAAACTGTAAACTTGGAGGTGATAAGGAACATGTAGAGGTTCCAGTTCATTCGTTCATTCTCAAGGGTTCCAGTTCAAACTCACAGTTTCCAGTTTGTATTTTTTCTCCCAGTCCATAACCATCTTGCGTTCCCAACTACCTGCACATGGACAATTGGTTCCAGCGCTAGACTTAGAAACTAAACATCACATAGACTAGTTCTTCTGCCTCTATTAACCATGGAAGGTCAAGTCCTTATGATAAATACTGTAAATATTATACACATATATATCCTGGTGGTTCTACTTCTATAAGAACCTTGACTGATACAGAAGGTTTTCTATGTGCCAAGAACTATGTTTTGGGCTGAGGAAACAGATGAATAAGGTATAGTCCCAACATTCATAAAGGTTTACAGTGCTTAGAGGAGAAGTCAGCCATCACTCATCATATCACAAATTATAAAGTTTCTATGGATTTACCTAATCTGGAAAGTTTGTATAAATGGAACCATATAACGTTACCTATTTGGTCTTTTTTTTTTCTCACTTAGCATGTTTTCTAGGTTCATCCACATTGTAGCATGTATCAGTACTTCACTTTTTATGGCTGAGTAATATTCATTTGTAAGGATATATCAGATTTTGTTTATTCATTCATCTGTTAGTGGACATTTGGGTTGTTTCCACTTTTTGGAACTATATAGTTCAAAACTAGACAATGATTTTTGCACAACGTACAAATGCCAATCAATTATACACTTTAAAATAGCTAATTTTATATTATATAAATTTCATTTCAATAGAATTTTTTTTAGGGTTTTGAAGTTATAAAGTTGTTTTCCTTTATTAAACAAATTTACATGTATCTACAATTATTCAGAGTGAAATTCAAGAGATTCCAGATCATGGATTTTATGCAGTTTATGGATGTCAAACTGGTAAAATGTTCATTAAACTAGATATTTTCAGTGATAAGGTCAGATGCTTTCCACATTTGACTACAATCTGCTTTGTATATTTTTCTTTGCTCTGCTATTTTGCAGCAAGCCTGTCATTGATTGGCTTCTTGACATGCACATAAAATCAATTAGCATTCAGTCTCTGAGAATAATTCTCTTAATAGGTTACTGCTTTCACCATTTAACCAACAGAGAAACAGTTCTTTCCACACCACCCTATACTTATTTAGGAAGGCATTTGGTAACACTTATCAGCCTGCACATGCCAGTAATTAGATGTCAATAGAATTTCTATGTTCAATCCTTTGTATACAAGAAACACTTTAGCCAAAATTTCCAGTCTTCTCACAATTTTCTGAACTCATCAGTTTTTGTCCATTCACCATGGGGTGATTTTAGAGACATGGAATAAAGTCCATCACATCTGCCTCTAAACTTCCCCTAAAAGGGGGACAGTATGAAAGTAGATATCAAGATTGAGAATACACCAGGCCTGTTTTCTATTCCTTATGTTTCAGGAGGTACAATGACAAACCACTATCTAACTTCTTATAAGTGTAATTTTTCTTCAACTGCTAACCTAGCTTTTTGTTGTCATTGTTTTACTTCTTTGTTACTCCAGAGATCTGATCTGAATGTCATTGTCTTGCAGAACTTTCTAACCTCCCTCCCTCCACTATCCTTCTCTTGCACTACGGTCCAGCCATACTGGCTTGCATTTGGGTTCTAGAACGTGTAAAACTCAACTGCATCTCAAGACCTTTATAGTTGCTGCTCCTTCTACTTGGTTCCTCTTCCTCAACACTGCCATGTGGCTTCCCTTTTTCCATTGTTCAAGTCTCAAATCATTTGGTATCTTTTCAGAATGGGCTTCCCTAGGGGTGCCTGGGTGGCTCAGTCAGTTAAGCATCTGACTTTGGCTTAGGTCATGATCTCACGGTTTGTGAGTTTGAGCCCTGCATCAGGCTCTGTGCTGACAGCTCGGAGCCTGGAGCCTGCTTCAGATTCTGTGTGTGTGTGTGTGTGTGTGTGTGTGTGTGTGTGTGTGTCTGCCCCTCCCCTGCTCACACTCTGTCTCTCTCTCTCAAAAGTAAACATTAAAATTTTTTTTTAAAGAATGGGCTTCCCTAGCTATAGCAGCTCTTCCAATCACACCTTAACCTCTTTCCCTGTTTTTTTTTTTAATTTTATGTATCCCCTCACTAGATCATATAATTCTTAACATAGGGACTCTGCCTGTTTTGGTCACCACTGTTTGCCCAGAGTTTAGAATAGTACTGGAACAGATAGTAGTTGCACAATTAATATCTTGGCTGACTGATTATAAACTAACAGACACTAATTATGCCAATAAATGAAAATTGCAGTGTAATTCATGGTGGTGCCATTCCTTGTAACACAGTATTCTAGAAAAGATCAAGTATGTATGTATGTATGTATGTATGTATGTATGTATGTTGGATAGATATTTTTTGTGGGGGAGCAGGTTATAAGTTCAGTTTAGTATTTTGAAGTACTATTACTTTTTTTAAATGTTTTTTCCTATTTATTTACTTTTGAGAGAGACAGAGTGAGAGCAGGGGAGGGGCAGAGAGAGAGGGAGACACAGAATCTGAAGCAGGCTTCAGGCTCTGAGCTGTCAGCACAGAGCCCGACGTGGGTCTTGAACCCATGAACCATGAGATCATGACCTGAGCCAAAGTCAGATGTTCAACCAACTGAGCCACCCAGGTGCCCCAACTATTACTTTTTTTAAATTCAAGTTAGTTAACATACAGTGTAGTCTTGGCTTCAGGGGTAGAACCCAGTGATTCATCTCTTACTTATGACACCTTCAAAAATTAATATGTTGAAATCCTAATCCCCAACACGATGTTATTTGAAGGCAAGGAGGTAATGAGGTTTGGATGAGGTCATGAGGGTAGAGTCCCCATGATGGAATTTGTGCCCATATAAGAGGAAGAAGAAACACAAGAGCCTTCTCTCTCTTCTTGTTCCCATAAAGAACAGATCATTCAGGCACACAGCAAGAAGGTAGCCCTCTGAAAGCCAGAAAGTAGGTCCTCACCAGGCACCAAATCTGTGGGCACCTTGATCTTGAAATTCCAGCTTCCATAATTGTGAGAAAATAAATTTCTGTTGTTTAAAACACGAAGTTTATGGCATTTTGATATAGCAGCAAAGGTGACTTAGATAAGAGTGTTTCCAGAAGGAGAGAATTGTACAATGTGTGAGATGCTGCTGGAATGATGTAAGGTGAGAACTGAAAAGTATCCAATGAATTTAGTCACATGGAAATTGCTGATAAACTTTGTTAGAGTTGTTTTACTGAAGTGATAGGGTCACAAGTCAGAGTAAGGAGTGGGAGATGAAACACAAGGACTATGAGTACATGTGTATCATTTTTGCTATATGTGACCTTGAGCAAAGCTCATACATTCCCCAAATTTAATCATTATTATCATTAAGTTGAGCAGCTCATACTTATGTTGGAGACATGTTGTAAGGATTAAGTAATATGATATGGAAAGATGCTTAAAACACCATGAACACTCAATAAATGCAGATTCCTTTCACTTCTCCCACTTGGAGGCTTTTAAAATAAATCTGTTGACCGGAATCAAACATATTGCCTTAACCAAGGACTACACGGGAGTTTTGTTATTTGTCTAATAAAATACTATGCAAGAGGAGTACAGAAATTGTGTGTGTGTGCGCGCACACATGCATGTGTGTGTCCTAAAATCATTTGGTGATATGCCTTACTACAATTGCAGAACACTATGAATTTATGTTCTATTTATATTTCGTCCTAACCCTGAGATTTTTAAAATAGAATTTATTGTCAAATTGGCTTACATACAACACCCAGTGCTCATCCCAACAAGTGCCCTCCTCAATGCCCATCAAGCATTTTCCCTCTCCCCACCCCGCCATCCACCCTCTGTTTGTTCTCTGTATTTAGGAGTCTCTTATGGTTTGCCTCCCTCTCTGTTTGAAACTATTTTTTCCCCTTCCCTTCTCCCATGGTCTTCTGTTAAGTTTCTCAAGATCCACATATGAGTGAAAACATATGATATCTGTCATTCTCTGACTGACTTATTTCATTTGGCTTAATACCTTCCAGTTCCAT